TTGGCACCGTATCTTCCTCTTTCAGTTGCATCTCTGCTTCATCAAAAGCCTTCTAAGAGGTGATCAGAGCAGCTCACAAACCTCCAGACATACCTGCACTGAGCGTCAAAGCTGACATCGGAGCTAGAGACCAGATCACTACACACCTTGAAGAAATGTAGCTTCATCAACACTGTCTACTGGAAACAGTCCCTGGCCTGTCCTGCCACACCAAAATAGACTGAGACATTGCCACAAGAGCGTTAGCTGGCACCACCTGAAGCCACAGAAGTTGTGGGCATGCCAACACTTAAGCCTGCACCGTGGCCAAATCCATTAGGCTGTAATGACATGACTTACGTCTCCTGGGCAGGTCTTAGCCAGCACAGGATTAACCATCACACTCTGTGCTTGCTGCACACCAGAGCCATCAATGGCTCTGAATTCCAGCACACTTCATTCAGCCATTCCTAGAAATGTGCTTTCATCCTGTAGCCTGTCTTTTTCCAAATTTATCTACCAGTTCATTGTTGCCTGCTGTTCCTGCTCTTGTGAGCATCCCAGTTTTTTCCTATCTCCCTTTTGCATACCTGCCCTGGCTGTTCTTGCCACTCACTTCAGTTTAATTACTATTCTTAGCAATGACTGATAAAATCCACTCCTGGCCTGTCCCCAGCTATAATACAATACAGTACACCAGTGTCTCTGCTTCTGGGCATTACTGCTGATAATAAACTCAAAGCTGTGGTCTTTGATGTTGAAGGTTTATCTGTAGAGCTTTTCCCATCAGAACAGTGAACAAACTGATGTGGCCTCGTCTAGAAAGCTCTGGATGTCAAGGCCAGCTAGGCTGCTTGCAACAGCTCTTTGGGTCCTTGTTAACTCCTGCTCATCTTAAATGCTGGAGAAGAACTTGAAGCAATTTGACTGTTCCTGAATTTCCATCTATTTGACTTCTTTGGAAAGGCAGAAAACATCTACTTTATATTGCCCCAGTCCTGCAGCAAACACAGACAAGACTGAAAAGCAGGAAAGTATTCAATCTGAGTGTGTAAGGATGTAGAAATTAATGAAACCCTTTAAAAATCCCTTTGGAGGAAGCAGAGGGCTTTTCCTATTACTAGAAAGTGAACCAAAAGTCAGGGCAAACAACTGAAACGAGTGCTGTGTCCTAAAGCTGACAGAAGGTGGTTAAGATTCCTTCAGTTGGTGGCAGTTCTTGAGACATGTTTGTTACCCCAAGAAGGTATTGCTCCTAGCCAGGGAAAGCTTAAACCCCCAAACAGATACTAAAAAAATCGACCCAGTCTGATTTTAACCCCGAGAGCACTAAACGAATATGACAATTCACAAAAACACTTACCTTAAGGACACAAAACCAAATCGTGACTCTGTGGTCATAAAATGAATGCCAAAAAAACCATGGCTGTGGGGGTCAGCAGGGTTTGCAAGGCAAGAATGTGCCACTGCTACGTGTGAAAAAGGTAACAAAATTTCTGTTCTAATAGCTTCTTTGCTCGATCACCTTTTAAAGTGCTGAATAATGCTGATATTTTAATCAGCCATGACCTGCATTTTCAAACATATAGCAGACCTTAAATCTATATATCATCTCACCGAAATTATAACATAAAATGTGGGGTTTATGATGAGCCCGGGCACCTCCTATTCAAGGTCTTAAGTATGACAAATTAGCATCAACATGTGACTAAGTTCCAAAAATCAAATAAAATCCAACCTCCCAAATAAATGACCCTTTGCTAGGCTCAAGGCAAGATTCATAACTAAAAAAAATATGAAAATTTCATAGACAAAACCATCTCAGATTTCAAGCTGCATTTGAAATATGCAAATACTCTGTAGATAGCATACAACAGAAAATGTTCTAACGCTGTACTTTGTTCTAAAGTCACCTCCAAACATAGTCCAAAAAGCATAAAGTACACTTAGTAAATTAAAGCCCGACAAGCCTTAATACACGGCAGAAAAAAAAAAATCTACATCTCAACTCCAGTTGAATTATATAGATGTAGTGTATTTTTGGGAGTTGAAGTTACTCTTTTTGGCCCAAATTACATCCAAGACTAACCTCTTTGGGATAACTGAAATACAGTAAACACTCAAGTTCCAAGAAAACATTCCCTGAAAAAGGAATGTGACAGTTCCAATAAAATGGAAAACCAAAAAGGATTAAACTGTGTTTACATGGCATTAAATTTACATGTATGCCAGTAAACCTGATATACTGAAAACAAGAAAAAATATTTTAAAAGGATCATCAGTTACTATATGTGACAAGTTGTATTTTCCAGGGAATGCTATCTGTCTAGTGAATGGAGTACTCAATAAGGCTTTCTGGGTGCCTGAATTTTATTCCCAAACCTGTGTCACTGCCATGATCCTAGGACAAGTTACCATGTGACTCAAGATTCCTGCTTACAAAAATCATACTGACCTCTTCTGTAAAGTGTTTCAAGATTTGCTCAGGAAAATACTTTGTCAGAAATTCTTAGCACATTCCTGGTTTCCATGATTGTACGTTCTTTCTTTCCCAATCTACTTCACAGGAAGGGGAAATGACCAAGGACCTTGACCTTCTTTGAGTCCTAGCTCTCCTTGCCCTGAGAGCACACACCCTGACTCCAGGGGGTCAGAGCAGCCACTGATTCCAAAAGAACCTGCACTCATTACCACTGCCAAAAATCTGTCCATCTCTGTCAACTTTTATTCTTAAATCTTAGCCAATCTTGAGCCTAGCTGACATTCTGAGGAAAGGATCAAAACAAAATGTGATATATGATTATGTACTCCCCCTTGCTCAAGGAAGAAGCAATTTACTGCTCCTGAGAAAAAGCAATGTTTCCCCATCCTTGTCAGTCCAACTGACCCATATGGTGAATGGGCTCCAGGGGACATGGCCACTAGCCTGTTAACTTAGGGCTATCCTGTCCTTAAATCCATATCCCACAGCCAGTCCTGCATACTGCCCCCACAACATTCAGTGACACACCCATAGGGACAACCCAGCCACTAGGATTTACCTGACCCTGATGCGAAAAGCAAGAGCTTTATGAACTTAGGCATCTAGAAGAGAGCCAAATAAATATCTGTACTTCCATTTAAGTGTCAAGATCACATTTCTGAATCTGTTACACATGAGGCTTCGTTGGAAGGACACAAATGGATTGTTGCAGTGAAGCCAATGACAAAAACCACACAGGACTTCATGCAATATCCCCCCATCTTCCTCCAGTATGTGCTTAACCACTGCAATATGTTGCCATCAACTACAGATCCTCATCCCTACCCTAAGCTTTTCTGTTAAACTACAAGAAAAAATATCTTCTGATTTATATAATTTGTGTCATTTTAAATTAAGAAAAGTTTAACATTGTTAATTTTATTGTATATTTACTTCTAACTCAAATCCACTTCATCTGAGCATTGAAGAGTCTGAGCAACACTGAATCATAGAACTTAGCAAGCTTCACCTTGCACAAATTTATTTTATACAGCACAGCACAGGTGCAAACAGCTCATCCAAATGCTCAAATGACTTCAACAATTCTTCTTTCACGCAAAATATGTAATGTGACAGTAGAAAAATGCATTTCTGAAACTGTATCGGGTTTGTGTGGACAGGCTTTGGTAGTGGAGGGCTCCAGGGGTGACTTCTGTGAGTAGCTGCCAGAAGCTTCTCCTATGTCTGACAGAGCCAATGCCAGTTGGCTCCAAGACTGACCTGCCACTGGCCAAGGCTGAGCACATCAGCAATGGTGGTAGTGCCTCTGGGATAACATAGCTAACAAGGGGCAAGTAACAATGCACAACAGCAACTGCAGCCAGAGAGGAGTGGCCAGAGAGGAGTATGTGAGAGAGGCAGTCCTGCAGACACCAAGGTCAGTGAAGAAGGAAGGGGAGAAGGTGCTCCACATGCTGGAGCTGAAATTCCCCGGCAGAACTGTGGTGCATACCTGGTGGCACAGGCTGCCACCCTGCAACCCATGGAGGTCCGTGGAGAAGCAGAGATCCAATTTCAGGCCCTGGAAGACACCATGCCAGGGCAGGTGAATGCCCAAATGAGGCTGTGACCCTGCAGGAAGCCTGTGCAGGAGCAGGCTCCTGGCAGGACCTGTGGCCCTATGGACAGAAGCCCACGTTGGAGCAGGTTTGCTGGCAGCACTTGCAAGCCCATGCTGGAGCAGCAGGCTGTTGCTGAAGGACTGTACCCCATGGAAGGGACACATGCTGGAGCAGTTTGTGAAGAACTGCAGCCCATAGGAAGGAGCTGAAGAAGTTAATGGAGGAATGTATCCTGTGGGAGGGACTCCACACTGGAGTAGGGGAAGGAGTCCTCCCCTGAGAAGGAAGGAGTAGAAAAAAACATGAGATGAATTGACTGCAACTCCTATTCCCCATTCCTCTGCACCACTGGGGATGAGGATGTAGAAAAACCAAGGGTAAAGTTAATCCTGGGAAGAAGAGAGGGGTGGGGGAAGATGTTTTAAGATTTGGTTTTATTTCTAATTACCCTACTGTGATGTGATTTGTAATAAATTAAATTCATTTTTCCCCAAGTCTGTTTCACCCATGACAGTAATCAGTGAGTGATCTCTCCCTGGTGTTATCTCAACCCACAAGCCTGTTGTTGTATTTTCTCTCTCCTGTCCAGCTGAGGAGGGCAGTGACAGAGAGGCTTTGGTGGGCACCAGGTGTCCAGACAGAGTCATCCCACCACAGAAACACAAGAAACCTCCAGAGAATTAGTCAAGATTTTTGCATGTGAAACAGTCTCACCAAGATCCCTTCAACACTGATTCAAAAATCTGTCATACAGCTTAGCAAAAGAAAATAATAGCCTTTAGCTCAGATTTCTGTTCCGCACCTAACACACAAACTAAACTTAAAATACTAAGTCCCAGGAGAAAGAGGATTACTCAAAGATGAGTTCCTAACATCTAAACAAAACAGTTTCTAAAAGACAGGAGCATTTCAAAACGAACATGGAAGATGGTACATACCTATAGCTGTCTTCACTTTCTGAGTCCTGATTTTCATCAGAATCTTTGTACTTATCAGGATCTGGAAGCGTACTTGGATCAAACTCTTCTTCACTTCCACTGTGAGCAAGATAGGCCACTGTTTCCTCTTCAGCCTGCCAGGTGACAAATGGAGAGTTACAAGACCAGCAAACAAGCCCATGTTACTTGCCACAACCCTATCAAGAGGGAGACTGTTAAAAAAACCCCACTGCCCTCAACCACAGTCAAAGATCACCGCTATTATAGCCAGGAAAACAGAATCATTTCTGTCATCATCAGTGCCCTCCTCCAAGGCTGATTGTTATAGGTTGAAGAAACATTATTAAAAAAAAAAGCACAAGGATTTACATTCAAATTCTACCGATTAAAAAAGGAAGCACAAGGATTTACATTCAAATTCTACCTTCACAATGTTGTGATCTCAAATCTACCAAATCTAGGAGAGACTTGGGCAGCAACTAATTAACAGCCATCTGAGAGCAAGTACTTAAGTAATACGCAGCTTTATAGTCTCTCAGAGACACACTGGCGAAGAGATACACACTCGTGGACACCTCCATCACTACTGTAAGGCGAATTTCATTAAATACTCTGATTTAAAACTCATCTGAGTGTCCCTGCAGTTAAAAACCAAAATGCTGCTTAAGCTGAATTAACTACTCTGAGAGTTTCAACCCTCATCCACAAGAGATGCATGTTCTTCAGGCTTCTTCCCAGATGCCCTCATCCCTCCCCTCTGGGGCTCAGCTTCCCACTGTCCCTGCGGCATGTCTCAGGATAGGCTGCTGGCATCGGCAATTCCCCAGGGTGCGGCAGTGCCCCACTAATTCCTCAACAAGGAGAGCACAGAAGATGCTGCTCCATAAAATTCTGGGATAATATAATAAAGCTAACTGATTTTGCAGATCCAAGTTCTGCTACACTCAGGCCTGAACTGATGGCAGCGCTTTTGTACATTTTTGCTAAGAGGCACAAAAAACCCCAGACAGACTGGAGGGCATATGCAATTGTAAATGCACATAGAAATGCAAACTGAAAGCTCACAGGCATTTCTAAGCAACGTGAACACTAGATCCATGCATATTTATGCTGAAAAGCAAAAATAAATGCGAAGAAATTATAATTAAAGACATTGCTACCTTTTGTTTATATATCTAATCAACATGCACACAGCTGAGTTTCCAAAACAGCACTGATTTCAATGATCTCTCATTCTACGAATAACTTTGCATCAGTATGTATTTAGTTAATTTTCATGCTATTTTTCACCATTTCTATCACCAGGTTTTAAAAGAACAGTTATGTGCACATACCTCCCCACAACAGAAATACATTTTTAAAAAAAAAAAAAATCACAAAAAGCCAAACAGAAACCACACCAATGGTCCCTTTTATATCTGCATATAGAGTGAGTGAAAGGCAATGAGCTGATGAAGGAAGGGTAAGATTAGTCACCACTGCAAGAGTCCGTTCTTGCTTGACCAGTGACCCTTCTGCAGTGCATTGAAAGCAAGCAGAAGAAAGGGATAAAAGCCAGATTTGCAATCAGAAGGCAGGGGAAAATCATACTAAACAACCATTTTGTTCTTTACTATTTTGAAATACTAGTAAAGGTAATTATATAGCTGGGTGTATAAAGTCACTAAAAGCATCACTGGACTCTGCAGCAATGTAAGCTGCCCAAGGTAACAACCACTGACTGAAAAGCATGTTGACAATCAGGAACTTCTGGTGCTATATCACAATAGTTGGTTTTGTGGGGGGTTTTAAGTATTTTTTGCTTGCCAAAAAAAAATCTTCAACCTAATCTTTTAGTACAGTATTACAGAGCACTACTAACTCCACAGAAAACTATTTTGAAGGTGACCATTTTACTAATAAATTTCCATATTTGAAAATCATTCTGCATTAAATTACAGCTTATTTCAATTTTTTAAAATATTTGCTCTTTACTTGTCCTTCCTATTGCATCTATTCTTTCAATACAGCTGGTGCATACCAATCACATTTACAAAAGGAGAAGTAGCATTCAAAACTGTGGTATGGAACAAGGTATTTTTTGATATGTATGTGTGACACCATGCAACAGACTTCTGTAACACCAACATTTATTGGCAGTCACCTTTTAAGACTTGGGCTGTTCATTCTCATTCTCAGTTATATCAGTGAGGTGTTGAGACTGCATTGTTTCCTAAGTTTTGTCATTTATATATGCACACATAAAAGACAAATACACACACAGATCAAACCTTTGCTTTCATTACGCATTCATATTAATTTTTTCCAGTAGAAAATATGCATAAATGTGTTAAAGGTAACACTTGCTATAACAAAAGGAATAATTGGCAAAGATGCCTCTTTCATTCATCAGGAACCATGAGGTTGTATTTCTTATAAGTATCACTGGTTACATATTCATTAAAATGTTCGTAGGACCCTGAAATTGTTAAGAACTTGAACATGAACATTTATCATCCACAGCTGAACAACAAAAAGTCATTATATTTCCTCTCTCGCTTCAAATTTATGTCAGCCAGTCAAGAAGAGGAAATCTTGTGACTTCACATTACTCACCAAAACAGTTGGAGAAAGTAAGTAAAATCATAGTTCAAGATGACACGTGTAAAAGTTAGCCAGATACAAACAGGATGTGATTTACAGACTCAGGATTAGACCCTTCCTAAGGCAATGGCTATCAAAAAAAGAGATTAACTGAAGAGCAGATTTTGACTGTCTGTACCTCATGTCTAAAGTTAGTGACAACAAAGCACACACTTTGGAGTGTGTATTCATTACAAAGCTCAAGTGTAGAAGGAAACCTGGTCAGACATCAAATCAGGCTGGCCAGGAGAACTGGATTCAGTGGCAATCACGTTGTTATTTCCATTCTGCTCAGGGATGACAAGCACACTCCTTATACCACACCAGCCCATATATTTTGCAATCCAGTTCCACAGCAACTTTGGACAAAGACTTTTTGAACATAACATTGAGATTAAAACATTTTTGGATTCACATAGTCTCCCACTGAGGCATAAGGAGAGCCTTCTGATGTAAGTTCAACATCTTTCAGCAAAATTTCTGTGATGGAGGCTTTGCAAACCTTGTTGCCTTCCACACTGTACTAAGTCAACAATAATCACACTGGACCTTACTGTAGTCATTTTGGAAACAAACTCGATAAAGCAAACAGGGCAGGTTCCTCTAGAGCTTTTGCTACATTTGTCAACAGAATACCTCAAATTCAACTTCTAGTTGTCTTTGTTACAAGATGCAATGACAACTTCCTCTACTCCTAAAGAAGGCTGGATGGCTGATGGAGCTCAGGTAAACATGTTAGGCTAAGAGAAACTTAAAATGAAGAAATTAATGTACCTCAGGCACTCAAGGGAATCAGATGTTCAAAGGAAGAGAATGATGTCTCATTTCTACCAGACATTAGGTCCCAGGTGGAAATTATCCACTAACATGAGATAAAAAGGGAGCACTGAAAAAAACACCATGAAAACCTGCACATACATAAAAAAAATGTTGCACTTACCAAGATTTAACTTATAAAGTACATCTTTATTATGGTATTTAATTAATATCTAATTTTAATTGAGTTTTTTCCCTCCAATTAAATTGTCTAGAGTTGCAATTTATCAGTTCATAGCAATCAAGTTGAGGGGGAAGAAAGAATTCTTTAGGCATTATCAGTTCTGTCCATAACACTATACAAAGAACAGTGGAAGAATATTTCCCCATCATCTGAAAACAGAAGTGTTAAAGTTTGTTCAGAATTTCATCAGACTTAAGTCCATCAACAGCCACACATCACACAATATTCAGTTCCTTTTTGAGCTATGCCACCCTTCAGTTTTTGCTAATAATATGTACTCTTCCAGTAAGTGATGCTTGAGATTTTAATGCTAAGTAAAGGTAATCTCTAAATACTGATAGGAGATTAACCTACAAAAGTACATGACTTTTAAAAGTTATGGCTTATATAAAAGCCTCTTATATTAAAAAAATAATATTAAGATCTTACAGAACTCCAAATTGTCTTAATTTTCTTCTTTTTGACAAGTACTTTTTAGAGGAAAACATAAGTTGTTTCTGCATCATGTTTATGATGGAACACAGAGAGGTTTTGTAGCATTTCCTTTAAAACAGCTTAACTCTGGATTTCCCTGATTACCTTTCAGGTTTGGGTTTTTTCATAGCCTGTACCCACAACCCACAACACTGTCCCCAGCTGATGCATGGTTACTCTGGTATTTCATCATCTACGTTGCCCCAGAGAAATACAGCTATCTGATATCTCATCATCTACATTGCCCCAAAGGAATACAGCTATTCTGGCAGCTCACTAATGAAATACAGCTTTTGATGTTGCTGGGGTGTTTGATCCAACAGTTGCTTTGAAGATCAGGACCAAAGCCTTAGATGATACAGAAAACTGACTGGGAGACAGTGGAGCTATCCCTAGTCCTGACCTGATATACAAAGAGCTGCCTAAGCCATGCCAAAACTGGACAGTTACACTCCATACCATCTAAGGCACATCAGTGTTCCATGAGTCTGGCCAGAAAGGCTTGTAAACAAAAACTGGGGAAACCAAGGCTCCAGGTTAGTCAGACAGACATAGACTTTGCACTAAGACAATCTCACTGATCTTTGGGCTCTGGAAGGAGTCAGTCATAGTTTCTGGTTTTCACACCAATTCTCTAGAATATCATTCTTGGTTTTCAGTAGAAGGGATAGATAACTCTTAGCTTCATCTTCAGATCACTCACCTTCAGATTCACCCTTCCCAATCACTAGCAGTCACACCAAGGTTCAATTTCATCCAGTCATTCTTTATTTCTTTTTAAGCAATCTGACATCTTAAATAATACAATTAGCCTACAGCTAATTTATTCAGCAGAACCTTACTTTTACCAGCAGTCTCACATAATGCACATGAGAATACTTAAATTTCTTTCTTGGCATTCCTAAATACCCCACGTTTTATGGTCAGTGAGTGGTGAAGTCTGTGTTCTAAACTGGCAGACACCGATGCATATATTCTGACATTCCAATCTCTGTGCAACTATAGCAAAGCAATTTGTGCTGGGAATGGCTCCTACCA